CACACTCACCAAGCACCGCCACGTTCAGGTCCTCCTGAAGGCACGACGTAGCAACAAAACAATGCCGTCTCTATTATGATCATACGTTTGCTTCTGCTTTCTCATCTTGTTTCCACTTGTGTTTTTTTTTTTTTCCTGTCTGTGCCTCCTGAACTCACAGGTTTTCCACGGAGACGCGGCGGTGGCCGAACCACGGCGAGGTCAGCGGGTGGACGCCACGGAACGAGTGGGAAAACCTGTAGAAAGGAAAGTACGTGTAGTTGTTCATCACATTTAGCACCAGCAGCTGCTCACGTGCTCACACGGCGTAGATGTGACGCAAGCTGACGCCTGGTGTGTCACCCTGAGACCTAGTTGTAGGTAAACTCTGTGTTTCTTCACCCTTCTTCCTCTTTTTTTATTTTATATCGATCCAAACATGGTATGATAATTCCATAACAAGTAGAAAGAGCAGATATCACGTCAGCTGATTCACTGAAACAAGGAGAAAGTGTCACAACATCAGAACGTTCAGAATCATTTCCACCTTTAATCCTCCCACGCTGTCATGTGAACATCAGCCATGAATCGATTCTGTCCTTTAGATTGTGGCACAGTGACGTAGACGATCAGACCTGGAGATTCTTTACAACCTGAGGTGATAGCTGACGGCTTCTTTTTGAAACGTGACCTGCGTTTATCTTAAACCTGCCTGACGAACAGGTAGAAAAGCCGCCTTTAGCTCTGGTCCAGCAGCTGTGGGACACGTCCAAACCTCCTTCTCCCTGTAATTCCCCCTCCTGTGCATCTTTTCAGTCAGTTCACCTGCTTAAAGGAGACGTAAGAACAACCACATGAGTGTTTCTGTAGCTGTCTGCTTTGTGAGGACGGAAAAAGGAAAAAGGTCTTTAACCAACACGATTCTTATTTTAAAGGAATCGGAGGTAAACTAAAATTATACATTCAGAAATGTGTTTAGATTCAAAGACGTCTTGTGTGTGTTTTTCTTTCTACATGCGTCACTGTAGACATACTCGTCCTTGGACTGTAAATCAAAGGATGATTTGTTTGGACGGAGACAAAGAAATTACATGGAAGTAATGTTTCTAAATATACTGAGGCTTTTCTCTAACTCTGTCATTTGTCTTTTTTTTTTTTTTTTGCTTTGACAATAGTTTCACTGTCATGTTTAAATCTTTATTTCAAGAGTTCTGTGACTGAAGTGCAGGTTTGTGGATGTTGGAGTTCATGTGTGTGAAGCAGGACAACACGATTCTTCTTATTATTTGTGTCTAACTGTGCGTGCATGTGCCATTGGTGTGCATTTATTTGTCGAGATCTTGAGACGTCACCAAGCACCAGAACGCCACATGTTCGGCTCCTGTGTTTGTTTGTTTTCCATGAAATTATCAACCACTAGAAAGCAGCCAAACGTACATTAAATGCTTCTTTTTTTTTCTTAGGAAAGAGTCTGTTGATGATCTCTGGAGTGAAATTAGAGGCTGAATGAATGAATGAATGAATGGATGAATGTTGAAGTGCTGAATCGACTGCTGAAGGCTCCAAAAGCAGATTTATTAAAATATAAAACTCCTCTGAATGTTTAGTTCAACCTCCAATTTGCTGCTGAAAAACTGATGTGTGTTCTTTTTTTTTTTTTCTCCCATTTTAAAGTCAGACACAGTTTGTGTGCTCGGAGTCCGTCTGCGTCTTTGTTGTTGTCGTGAGATGAAGATGTGTGTGTGTGTGTGTGTGTGTTACCTTTTCTTTTATACTTTAAATTTCTTTCCTTATGCTGCTCCTTCGTCCATCAATTTCTGCAATTATTTTCACTTAATTTTCTATGTTGTCTCACTTTTTAGTTATTTTATGCCCTTTTATTTTTGCTCAAATGTGTTTAATGTTTCACAGAATCTCAGTGTTAATCCCACGTTTGCTCCATTTGCTCAGATTATGAATGAACATCCAGTTTATGTGCCGCTAACTGTGCGTTTTCTTTCAGAAGGTGCTGCGTGTTTCAATATTAATGACGCTTTTATCCGTTTAAAAAGCAGCTCTGATCTAATAAAAGCAAATCTTATGTCGTGTGTCCTCATTGATTTTCCTTGTGTGTAATTTTAGTGCAGCAGCGCCGGGAGTGTCACGTTTTAAAGAACTACTTATCAGCTTTGTGATGCTTTTTGCTGTAAAATAGCGCATGGAAATAAATATTAATAAAAGCCTGCAAAGATGACGTACTGAGTCTTTCTTTTGTGTGTGTGTGAAGTGAATCGAACAGACGTAAAGAAGATGCTGAATAAAGTTTGTTTTTCTGCAAAAAAAAAACATAAAAAGCAGAGATTAATATATAAGTTATTATAAATATATAACATTTGCTGGATGAATGTGGAGGAATTTTTGTGCACGTTCACGTGTGTGTGTTTTGTGCACAGATGTGATTCTTTTCAACTCTCTTTCTCAACGAGGTTCATTCACCAAAATAAAACACAAAAACAACAATCATCATGATGAGAGACGTGCTGCTGAATTACTGCTTTTAGTGCTCCACGTTTTTGTGATCACAAAAACAAACATCTGTATGCTTTTAATGCAGATATTTCAGGCAACGTTTTTTTTTCTTGTCCCAGGATTATTCATCAGTGCAACAGTTCGGACCGTCCCTCCGCCTCATTCACGCTCGGCTCACATGGACTCGAGGCCCACTGTGTTCGCCTGCAGGCTCTCGTGGTTCACGATCAGCTGCTGGTCCATTCACGTCCGAGCAGGCGCTTTAATCTAAAGTTCATTCAGGTTCCTTTGAAAGCTCAGAGCCAACAGTTTAGACTCCTGTTTACAATTGCTGCATTTCTATTTTTAGATGCAATGCTCTTATGTAACACTCACACTCACATTATGGACCACTGCTGTCTGCTCCACTTGGCTGAATCGTGTTCTCCGTATGTGAGTGTGTGTGCATGTGTGTGTGTGTGGATCCTAAGTTGGATTTAATTATGTCTTCTATGAACAAAAAGAAATAAAATGATGGATGAAAAAAAACATACATTCAATACTAAGCACCTATTATCCATGTATTAGGGGGAAAAACTGAAGTTATACCAACGTTTTACATCACAGGATGCAAAAATTCCAACACAGAGCTGTTTTCGGATCCATCTGGGAACACAAAAACACTCCTACGAATTTTAAATAATCCTCACAAATTCCCAGTGTGTTGTGTTTGCGGCGTTCTCGTCACACTGTAAGTATGTTTCAGGAATACACACGATTGCAAAACCAAAAAATGTATTTCGTACGATATGTGTCCTGCACAGCGTAGAACGTTTCCATTAAAACCAGCATGAATGTGAATAACACGAAGAAAAACAAGATTAATAGTTAAATAGATGGTCGCATTTTCAGAAGTAGAATTACACAATCAACAGAAACAAAGTACGAGTGTAAAATCAAACCTGAGTGTAAGAGAAGCTGCCATGGCAGTAGCAGGAAGAAAAGATAAAATTACATCAATAATCTCAAAGGATGACATTTTAAATTGCTGTTGCATTTTACAACAAGGTATTTCAAATGAAAAGAAAACATTCATAACAAAAATACACTCCAAGGATAATTATTCAAAGTCTATAAAACATTTGAAAACTCCTCATATCACTGTGATGCAAAAGACAGTCTGTAGCAATCAATACACCATCAATGATCAATGAACAGTTTGGAAAGTATTATTTTGCACAGCTGGAAACCTTTAACCCGATAGTGAGGGCATCTGGTGGCTCCGTGACGCTGAAGGGGGGGATTTTACTGCCATGGTGTGCATCTGTTTGGAGGGAAAAGTCACTTCAAGTCACTGGAATGTTGTTCTGAATGAAAAACTTTAATTTAAAATGAAATATTTCAACCCTGGGACGACGATGCATCCACCCGTAGGCGCTCAGTGATTTAATGGGTGTGAAAATGTTTAGAATCATGTGCAATTCTGGACCAACATTATAGATAATCTAGTTTACCATCATCTAAACACCAAAGGAGGAATTATCTTTTAGAAGAAAGGTGTTAACTCCTCCAGTGGAGTTTCAGAGACTTAAACAATCAATGCAAATTTGAACTGAAGCTGTTTTGGTGGCACATAGCGAGCCAGCATCTTATAAAGACACCTGATGTGTTATTTCCATTAATTTGTCGCCCATTTGTGCAGAAATATGGCTGCATGTTTTACACTGTAACGCAAAAAAAAAAAGGTGAAACACAATTAAATACACACCCTGCAGACTTGGTGATGCAGTTGCATGGTGGACTGATGAGCACGCACAGACTGTCGATAGCAAATATAAAATATTAGGAGAAATTTAAAAGAAACTTCCATTCATTTCTAGGAATTTATACTGTATATATGTATATATAGTGTCTGATGAACTGGATTTCAATCCAGGTAAAATTGTTGGACACTTGTGGAAAATATATGGGCGCTTATCACAAATATAAAAGCAACACAGCAAATGTGGAAAGCTCCAGTCTCCAGTGTGGACTGTTAAAAGGTGCAGAGAAATGTTAGTGTAGGCATTTGCGAAAATACATATTGAAGATATGTTAACTGAGGACAGCAAAACAGATAGATAGGAAATGAGAGGCAGAATTTAAATCTTACAAAGCTGATTAGATACTGGGGTGAATATAAATACAGAACATTCAACAGAATTAAAAGCAGCAAAGAAGAACTGATTTGCAATTACACAAGGTCATACAAACAGAAAAATAAACCTTTAAACCATTTTAAAGCCTCACAAGTTAAAATTGGACTATTGTGTAATATATTATTATATATTTCTTAAACTTAAAAAAACATAACAGCTCAGAAAAAGCCATATTACATATATTTCGATCGTTATAATACTGGATTGATTGCAGGTTGCGGTGGTGACGTAAACAGCCTCCAACAGTAGGTGGCAGCAGCGCGCTCGTTCCACATTAAAAACAAAAAGCGAAGAAGAAAACGGACCAATCACAGGCCGCCAAACGCTGATGCGGAAGTGTCGGACGCAGGAGACATCCCGGATTGTTCCTGACGCATGTCTGTGCACTTTGATCCGCTGTCAGCTCGTCGACACTCGGACCAGAAGTCCAGCCGCCACAAGACCCGCAGAGAGCAGACTCAGGTGTGCCCGCTGCAGCTATGTCGTCCAGCGGAGAAGCCGTGTTCCGGGCCGTGGAGACGCCGCTGCTGTGCCTCGGTGCTCTGACCGCGGCCTGGCTGTCCGTGTGCTCCGTGTGCCGGCTGCTGTCCGGGATCAGGGTGTGGGTTCTGGGCAACGGGCGGCTGGTGTCCCCCACCAGGCTGGGACAGTGGGCAGGTGAGACACTGCATGTGGACACTGCTGTTTAGGCTGTTTTTTTTTATTTTTTTACCCCCTTTTATTTATTAAAAAACACATTTGAACCCACTAAAACTAAGCTTCAAACTAAATAAAAGACATCCCCACTGATAAAAATTCAAGATAAAAATATGATACCATATAGAGTCTTAATATAAAATGACAAAAAATGATATTTGGAGTCAGTTCTCAGTAGTTATAACAATCTACGTTTTGAGCTTGAAAACAAAGCGTCTTAATACAGATAAAATAAAGGAAATGTCTCCGTCCTGTGGTTGTATCTGTGTAGTCATTCATTCTGGAAATACAGGTTGTTTTGACTAAATTCAAGAAAAATAAAAAAATTTCTGTCTTATATCCACAGAAGTCACAAGACAACATCAAATATAAAGTTCTCATCATGTTTCAGTGTTTTTTATTCATTTAATTCATTTATCCTTTATTTACACTCAAAGTACACTGAGGTACAGAGAAAGGAAATTAAAAAAACTGGGCACACACAATAAAAAAGTCGGACATTAAAAACACTTAAAGGCAAAGCTAGTAAATAATAATAATGGTCATAAATTTGAGTATTTAGGCTTTTAAACAAGTTGATTAAATAATTAAGAACGATTGGAAATAAAATCTTATGATAATAAAAACCTGAATTGTTCCAAGATTTAAAAAAAAAAAAAAAAAAAAAAAGGTTTAGGGTTTAAGTTCTGTGTTCCTGCTTTCAGGTGCTCAGCGAGTAAAACTGCATTTTTAACACTCAGTAAAAACTGAGCATTTATAATAAGAACCCACAGTTTCTAATTAGTGTTTTAATGATTAGTTAATTAACTGCACGTGCCAAGTTTTTGTTGCTGCTTCTCAAATATGAAGATTTTCTGTATTATGTAGGATGGTATGTGACATGTTTTGGGGGGTTTGGATGCTGTGTGGATAAACAAACAAACAAAACCGTCTGTTTTCCACCAACTTCTCACATTTCCTAGAATAAAAACGATTGAAGAATTACCTGATAAATAAAATAATGGTACTGGCACTCTTCTCCTCTACTCTTACTACTAATTCTTTAATTTTTTGTATTAATAACATGTCATATATTTAGCTTTTTTTTGTTGTTCATATGCACATCGGGATTTTTTCTTGTGTTGCTGTGAATGAGTAACTGACTACCAGCCTCCTAAAAGCTCCGTTCACTGACCTCTTCTGGCTGAAACTTATATTCTGCTGCATCTCAGACCACATCCCACGTCACTGCTGGGTCATGTGTGCAGCCACTCAGCTTTAAGCAACCTTGGTTTTTATCTAAATTTGGCAATGGTACTTTGTTCTAGTGTTAAATTATCTGCGGCAAATAAACGTCTGCGCTAAACAGCTGTAAATATCTCATTCAGCCTTCGGATTTCATGGTCGTACGTCCCGACGAGTCTTACTTCACTGTTTCAGATTATCAGCTGCAGATAAACAGAACATTGAGCAACGAGGACAAACTACGCAATGTTTCTGTAGTAAATTTTGTCATTTATGGAATAGTTCCATATCAGATGCTTCTATAATTTAAAAGCATTATTAATAAGAAGATTTTAAAGTGCAGAATTAGTAGTTAAGGTGTTCTGAACTGCTCAAATATGGAAATAGACAAAAACTAAAAACACCTTTTGACATCGTATAGTCCAGTCCAGCACTGCTTTTAACCTGGAGTCACATATTTTCAAGAATCTCAACCTTAGTGACTTCATAAAGGTAGAATTCTCTGCAAAGCGGCACCTATTTCAGTGGAGTGTTTATTACAAGCAGACAGTCATCACACAGAGAACAACCCGTGGACTGTTTAACGTTTACCACAGTTCCCAGTCCTCCCAGATCGCCTCACAACACACACTGGTTTCACGTTGTAACGTCTCTGCAGCAGAAACGCAAGGACCAGTCAGCCTTTTTGTCATCGGTTGCTAGCCGTCGTAATTCTTGTGATTGGATTATGGCTGGAGGGGATTATCAAATCAGACTGAACGCTGTCCATCTGTCCGGCCTGCTCTCCGACTGAACCTTGAAATTTGAGCAGACTGCCGGGATTGTGTCAATGCCGCCGTCTAAAGTTCACATCTTCACGTAAAAGCTGTGAAACTGCAGGTATTAGAAGCTCTCTGAGGAATCGTTCGTTCAAGCAGAAGAGCTCAAACGCCGTCAGGGTTCAGAAGAAAGTAAGAAATGTTGGTGCAGATGCGGTTATTTTGCACCTGATCAGTGGAAATCTCCAAGTGGAAGCAAATTATGAGTGTGTTTTTCATGCTCTGTCCTGATGGTCTTTTAAACATGTATTTATCTATTTACTTCACTCCTCGGTCTGTTGTTGTTTCATCAGTCTAGGTTCGGCGCTATAACAAGTTATTTTTAATGTAATTGTAAACTCGGAGCCGCCTGCTTCAACCTGTGCAGTCGCATCAGTCTGCAGGAGGAAGCCGAATGTTTAGAGGAGCTCGAGTCGGCTTTGATCTGTCTGTGCACGGCTAAAAATGGAAACGTATCAGAGAGGCTGTTTTTTTTCTTCCTATATTTTTGGATTACACATGCAAAATGATTCAGAATATGCAATGAGGCGAAGGAGCCCGTGAGCCTCGGCTGCTACTTTCATTCACAAACTTTGTGTCGCTGAAGTGGACTTGATTGAGCGGATGGCCTGATTATGTAACCGGAGCAGAGCCATTCATAAATAAGGTTCGCATGAGACGCAGGGTCCTCGCCGTTCTGGTTCAGCGGCGCCCACAATTCACTGCTGCTGTGTTCGTGCGTTCGGGAGGAGGAGAAAGAGGAGAAAGAGCGGCTGTGGTGGTGTTACAGAGAGCCATTGTGGTGGCATCCAAACCAAACTGAGACAAAGGCTCACTTATTAGCACGTCTGCTCTGTTGTGTTGCAATGAAACATAGCTGGGTTGTTAAAAATTGACCTCATAGGAAAATAATGTGGCTAAGAAGTAAGTTGCAGCTGATTATTCATTTTTTGTTGCCTTCTGACGCCCACGCTGGAGTTAATAGTTTATCAGGACTAATGTACTTTTTGTGGGCGGAGCCTCAGCGTTGTGCGTCACAGCTTTCACCAGATGTTGGAAACATTAATTTCATATTCTGCTCCATTTATCAGCTGCACATTTATGCGAATTGCTCATTCAGCTGCATCTCAAAGGTGTTCGGTCGCAGATCCGTGGGCCGACGAGGCCACAGAAGGAGAGCGGCTCATTATCGTGTTCGCGAAGCCGCTCCGAGGTGACTTTCCGCTCCGTGACGTGGCGCGTCGTCTCTGCTGGAAGCGGCCGTTAGAACGCGGGTAAATGGCGGCCATAAAGGGATGCACATGGTCAGCAGCAATCCTGAAATTGGCTGCGGCGTTCCAACTATGATTGATTTGGTATTAAGGGGCCCGAAGTGTGCCAAGACAACATTCCTCACACCATTACACCAGCACCAGCAGCAGCCGGGGCTGTTGACATAAGGCAGGTTGGGTCCACGGATTCATGCTCGCCATGCCAAATTGCGACCCCGCCATCTGTGAGATTCATCAGTTTTTCCCCAGTCTTTAACTGTTTTGGTTGTCCGGTGCCCAGTCGCAGCCTCCGATTTCTGTTCTTGGCTGACAGCAGTGGAACCCGACGTGGTCTTCTGCTGTTGTAGTCCAGGTGATTCAAGGTTCGGACATGTTGTGCATAGTTAGTCACCGTTAGTCACCTTCCCGCTCGTCCTGCTGCGACCTCTCTGAACCGTCGCTCGCTGAATGTTCAGCAGCAGTTTCATAAATACTCAAACCAGCCCATCTGGCACCAACGTTTGCCTTCAAAGACACTGAAATCACAGTGTTTTCCCGCCGGTTCTGATGTTTTATGTGATTATTAACTGAAGCTCCTGACCTCTAGCTGCAGGATTTTATGCATTACGCTCCTGATTAGATCTGGAGTTGGCAGACATCTTGGAAATGAGAAAACAAAGGCTAGAATTTAAACATATATCGACTTCCTCCTGCAGGTTGTCAGTCTGTGGACTCAGATTGGTCTTTGTTGGTAGTTTTCAGGTTTCTGAAACCTGAAAGTGGAACCTGGAGGAGGTACAGAAAGCTAGTTTCCTCTCAGCGTATTTGAATTCCACAATATCCAAAGATGAGGACGTAATTTTTGTCTGGTGATTCCAAAACAAGCTGCCTACCCGAGCTGCTCGATGAGTGTAACTTTGCTATAATATTAATTTTTTGGACTGATTTAGATGTTCCTGTTGCAGGGTTACATGCCATTAAGGCTGGAACTGATGAAGATGCTCATATTGTGCAACAAGAAGTCTGTTGAAAATGGAGAAACATTCCCAAATAAAGAATTCCCAGAGTCCAAAATGTCCCGTTTTGTCTGAACAACAGTCCAAAATATTCTGTGATACAGAAAAGGAGCAACAAGCAGCAGATTGTCACATTTGCAGAGGTGTTAGCACAGGGGGTTTTGACAGTTTTACTTATTTTTTATTAATTATTCAATTGAGTATCTAAACAATTGCCGATTATTGACCAGTCAGCGATGGTGCTCGATGTGTTTTTTCATGGTCGATGCTAATTATTAGCATTTTTGGAAGCAATAAACATTTGCACTAAACATGAAAATCCAGGTGTCAAAATTGAGAATAATAAAAAACTCCAGTGCAAAATTTGTAAAGTTGTGTTTTACAGAAGTTTAATTAAAAGAGAACGTCGCTTGAAACCACAGCGTGCAGACTGCAGACAGCTAAAGAGGCATATTTTAGTGAATCGGTTCAAAAACTAATAAATAAAGATACCAATTATTGGAAAAATGCTAAATATCGGACGTGATAATCGTCCACTTTGATACCTCCGCTCAGAATAAAGTGAGTTTATGTGCCGGATTTACTGGTGAAGATGTCATTACGTCGACTTTTAGGTGCAGACGTTAAGCAAAGAGCTGATGTCGTCCCGATTCTTCAAACGTTTGCAGCAATTAAACGGCGTCGGCTGTAAAAACCCAAATGGCGGCTCATAGTAGCGCCATCATCAGAACACCTCGCCGGTCTAACCCAGATTTGCAGGAGACAGCAGTTCCTAAAATAGACGCTGTTTTATTTGAGTGAAGGGAACATGCACTCAGCTGTAAAATCTTTTCCTTTTTTTTTTTTCACTGTTCCGACTGCAAAACAGTTCATTCTTAAAACAACTAAAAATAACCCAGCCTATATTTCCCTCATCATTGTGCCTGCAGACTCTCCGGCACTCTCTCCTCCTCTCCGCTGTGCTATTTTTAGTTGCCCCCAGGATCCCCCATGTTCGTGTTTGTCATTTTCTCTCCTCTTTTTTTCCCCCCTCTCCTCCTCCTCCTCCTCCACTCCCTTCTGTTTGGCTCTGCTGCAGCCCTGGAGGACGCTTGGCATCTCGGCATCATCTGCACTCAAGAAAATCACACAAAGGGGAGCCGGGCACAGCGAAGGGCAGATAGATGGATGAGGGAGTGAATAGTAGCGTCAAGATAACAAAATATTTGCCGAAAATAAACTTCATTATCTCTGCAGGGATATTTGTATGAGACACTGCGGCGGCAGCGTTTCATGAATAAAAGCAACAGTCAGGTGTGAACTTTAGTTTTATGCACATTTTTAAAAAACATCCCCTGCGCTGACGATATTAATCACTCTCCAGAGCGGGAGCGTCGCGTTTTGTTATAAATTGCTGTTCCGTGTTATTGCATCTAATAAGGTTTTAAATTCTGTCCGAAAACAATCTGAAGTTCGTTTTAAAAGCTGGTTTAAGTAATTGATCGCAAAGAAAGTTTGCCACAGGCGTCCGCCGCCGATGGATCTTCTTTAACTCAGTATTTTTCAGCAAATAAAAAAAACAAATGGATGAAACTTTTCAGAATACAAAAAATCTAAATGACGCTTTTTTTTTTTTTTTTAAATCAGTAATGTTGTATTTTTGAGGCTGCAGGGTGGTGCAGTTGGTAGCACTGTTGCCTCGCAGCAAGAAGGTTGCCGGTTCGCGTCCCGGTGGGGGCACCGGAATCTTTCTGCGTGGAGTTTGCATGTTCTCCCCGTGCAGCGTGGGTTCTCTCCGGGTTCTCCGGCTTCCTCCCACAGTCCAAAAACATGCCGAGGTTAATTGGTGATTGTAAATTGTCCGTAGGTGTGAATGTGAGTGTGCTTGGTTGTCTGTCTCTAAGTGTAGCCCTGTGATAGACTGGTTACCTGTCCAGGTGAACCTGCCTTCACCCTGAGTCAGCTGGGATAGACTCCAGCCCCCCACCACCCTTAAGCGGTGTATAGATGATGGATGGATGTTGTATTTTTCGTCTCAGGTGGTGAAGCTCGCTGTGAACGGCGGCTGCACTGATGTCGGTTCACCATGCATGTAGTATTTAATGAGCCCGAGTGTCTGAAAGCCCTGCTAGCAGACCCTAGAGGCGGCGCTGCTCGCTGCACCCGGCCACACGGATGTGGTTTGACCTCACCAGTGCTCCCATCTTAAGTGCACTTTGCTCCTACGAGTAAACCACAATGCAAGAAAAACGAGAATTAACCAAAACCGAGCAGGTTTCTGAAAGTCATGCAAAGTGTTCCTCTGTACGCGGGGCCGTGCCGTTTGCACAGGGGCATATTGTAACGCTCTGACTTTTCATGCCGCTCCCCGTCCACTTTCTGTTATATTTAGCCAGAGGTGTGATGAATAGTTCCTTCCGAAAGACGGGGGATTGCTAAAAATAGGCCCCTGCTGCTGCTGCTGCTGCTGCTGTTTGTGCCAGGCAGTTCCAGGGCATCTGCTCGCTCGACTGCCACCGATGACGGAGAGGACCTCACTTTTCCCTCCCTCGCTTTGTCCTCCTCAGTCACCTCAGCTGCTCTCCGTCCACCTCGGCTCTCGTCCGTCCGCGCTCGCGTCCGGCTCTTTAACCTTCAGACTTAATTCATCTCACTTTGCTTTTTTTTTGCCCATCGTCGGTGTGTTTTATTCTGCCAGTCAAACAGTCCTGACATCTTCACCGGGAGATTGTCTGTGGTGATAAAGTTCCTGCAGGTGGCACTCTTTGTCTGCTCATCTCAGGTTTTTTCTGCACCGCTTTGGCAATTTAGTTTCCCCCCGGTGTTCCATATTCATCTTGATTTCACACCAAGGAGGATAAAGGGAGAAGAAAAAGAAATCTTTACTCATGAATCTGCGGCGGGAGAAGCAACACGCCGCTGTCCTCTCGTTTGCAAACATTCTTCTTCTGCTGAAACATTTCTCTCCAGCTCCTGCTCGTCGAGCTGACAGAGGACATTTAAGGTTGCGGCAGGCTTTTATTGTGAAGGTGTGGTTTGACGCTGAGCTCCAGCTGTAAATTAATGCGATTCCTCGTTTATCTGAACACGTGAACATCCAGGTGAAGGTCTGTGGATACACCTGCATTGGTAGTTTTGTGTAATTAGGTCTGAGGTTTTTAATCATCCTTAAAAGGCTCCTCGGCTCCAATAAAGTGCGTTTATTGGTATAAAAAGGCTCCGTAAAGAAACCTCTGCTGCTGAATGGTGTGATTGCACCTAATCTCAGAACATAGGGGTTCTTAAATGGTTCTTCAGACGGCCAGGTGAAGAGCCATGACAGGTATTTGTTTAATTAGAGCTGCAGCTAATGATTATTTTCATTATCGGTTCATCATTTTGTCTATGAAACACGAGAGTGAGAATTGTCAATCGCTGTTCCCCAAGTCCTAACTAACGTCTTTCATGATGCAGAACGCTGCAAATTCTTACGTTTGACTTTTATTTTGCTTTAACATTATCACGTGATTAAGTCCTGTCATCAGGATTAGGGATGCAAAATGTGCACAACTGGTGCAGTCGTCCTCGAATTTATTCGTACCAGAAGAAAAAAAGCAGCTTCAGTCACTGAAATAAGGTGAAATTGACAAAAGTAACAATAAATAAAAATTTAATGAAAATCACGACGTTGCTTTTGAATTGTTGTTCGACAGAAATATATATAAAAATTTTTTTTTAAAAACAAGCATGATGGACCCGTAAACTAGTATTTAGCTGAACAACTCTTTGAGCCAATCACTGCCATCAGGTGTTTCCTGTAACTCTCAGTCAGACTTCTGCACCTGTTGACAGGTATTCTGATTTCACTGCTCATCAGCAAAGTGCTCTAATTTGTCTGGGAAGTTTTTGGTTTTTTTTAATTATTCTTTTCACCCACAATTCAAAAGCAATGTCTTATTTCACTAAATTCTAATTTAGAAAATTTTTATTTATTATTACTTATTTCAGTTTCTAGTTATTTTAGTGACTATTGTGAATTTTGCCTTTTCTTTAATGGAAGGGGATGAACACATTTGAGGACGACTTAAAGTGGATTTATTTTTTTTCGCTGGAAAATCTGTTTCTGATAACTGGCATGTTTTACAGGAACGCATCAGCTCATGGTGAGATTGCAGGTTCTGGCTGGTAGTTATTAACCATCACGTAAAACTTTATCATGGCGCCCGTTGCCTCTATTAACACAAACCTACCTGTTGTCTGAGTGACGCTTCCTCTGGTTGCTACAGTATGAAATATAAATAATCTGCAGTCATATTTTAAACATAGATTAAACTGGATATGCAGATAAAAAAAAATACAGGGACAAAACAGATATGAAAGTTTGTAGGATTAGAATTCAAAACAGTATTTAAAGCTACAGTAAGAGTCTCCACCTGGTGGAGGAATCCGGTACTACAGCTGATCTGCTGTACATTGTCTGACATGCGTGTCCTTTGTCTGGTGCCTCATCAGTTGAAATAATTGGTAATCAGTTAAAGTATTAATGGGAAAATAATGGCATCACTGCAGAAGACCTCTTTTGGTTCCACTTTACACCTTCTGAGTGAATGTATGTGGCAGTAGTTTGAGGAAGGATTTCAACATGGCAGCAACACTGTGCACAAAACCAGGTTTGTTAAGGAATGGTTCTCCCACCTGAGAACTGGCCTGGCTGATGTCAAGCCCTGATCTTAACGACGTAATCCAGGCAGGTCTCATCACCAGACATCAGCCTCACTGATGCTCTTGTGGCTAATTGGGAGCAAAATTCTGCCTCCAAACTCTAAAATCTGCAGTTTTCAGTCACTAAACGCTCAATATTCAGCGTGTGAGAGCGTCTGTGTCCTCTGTGTTTCTTACTGTTTGTTATGTCCGAGGGTAAAGACGCAGCCCGGAGACGTTAAGCTGTTAATATTGTGTTAATTTGGTCGATGATGCACCTCATTTATATCTGCATTAATTCTCCTTACTGGTGTGTGGATCAATTCTAATGGTTCTAAACTACAAATATAAAAGTGCACCGGGCCTGTGAAATTTCCTTTCCTCGGTTTTAATTCGCCCAATTGAGATTTATGGAAAGAACCCATGCACTTATTAAATTCTTAGTTTTTATATTTCATGTAGAATAGGATATACTTTTTTTTTCTCCTGCCAATTCAGCCTCTAACTTTTTTTTTTTGCAGTTGTGACAGGAGCCACAGATGGGATCGGGAAGGCGTACGCAGAGGAGGTGAGATTATCCTGGAAATGTCATAAAGGTGTGCTGGAAAATAGAGTTCTGTGGCTGTAATTCTACGTTTGATTTATTCCTGTAATTTCTGTTTGAAGCGGTTCTACGTTCAGGTCGTTACTTGCAGGTTAATGTTCTTTCTTTGTGGTTGACATTTCACTTCCTGCCTGTGAACTGAGCTTTCTGAGGTGATGTGTTAAGATCCACGCCGACGTGTTTAATTTTAGAGTCCTAGGCTGACAAGATAATACCAAAAAATGTTTGTTAATGGTTACACAAGAAAGAATAACGGTCCATTTTTTTGTTGACCCACTGGAGTTTGTAGAGATGTGAAAAAAGAAATCTGACCAGTAGGGGCTGACAGAGCTGTGTAGCTGTTGGTACCGATGTCAGACGCTGATTAAAAAGGAAAAAGAGATGTTTGGATCTTGAATTACAGGATTAAAATCAAATGTAAAAATTAGTAGAATTCCATTTCCAGTGACAGAACTGAACTCTTTGAATCTTTGAATCTCCAAACACATTAATGTTCTCGCTCTGTTTTCAAGCTTCTGTGAATAAGCTCAGATCTCACAAGCGAAATCGTAGCCCTGCTGAACCCTCAGAGTGTTTTTCAATCCTGTCACATTTTTTTTTCCTCACTGCTGTCTCATTTTTTTAAGTCTACACCTGTATGGAAACGTAGAGAACATGTCTGGTGTGCAGTATAACACAATCATAATGCCATAAATCATTAAAAATGAGGAAAAAAAGTTGAATTTCTATTTTTTTTATTTTACAAAAAATTGTAAAAATGGCTTCAGTGAGTCCAACATTTTTGCAAGATGGTCGCAGGTGTTGCCAAAACTGGGAAAAAAAAATATTGCTCTGCATACGGTTTATTTATTTGATTTATTTCAAACATGCCAACAGTGTTGCAACTGCAAAAACAAGAAAGAATAGCACATAAAATGGGAAAAAACTAATAAATAACAAAAATCAGAACCTAAAATGATGTCTGAAAACAAGTAGAATGAAAATACTGTTCACCAATATTCTAGTATTTCACTACTTTACTCCTAGATTTTTAAATTTGTTTCTATAATTGTCGCCTCTCTGGAGTTCAGTTAAAAATCCCAGAGTTTTAGTCTACTGATTGTAATTCGTAGCTGAGTCACTCATAGTCTCTTAGTTGCGCCAAAGAGTGCAGAACTTTTAGTTTTTTTACAAATTCTGGCTTTTGTAAACGGTTTATTTTTGGCAATTTTTTAAAATGACACATGCAGAATGAAGTAATTTGGACAAATTATGACAATTTTAATAAACTAAAGATGGAAAATCCAATATTTTTTCTGTTTTTCCAGATTTTGGCTTTGATAAATGGTATAATTTTGGCTTTTTAAACATTTTTATTTAGTTATTTCTTCTAATATAACATGCCGTTCAAACCCGTTGGCACATTTTGGGTTTCTGAGGGTAACAACTTGTTCAATGTAAAAGTTATTTCAGTAAGATTTCAGACCAATCACAGGTTGATAATCACTACAGACCAGACTAATGACTTGCGTCGCTGCGCCTGCCGTTGTTGACGTGTTGTTTTTTTGTGTTTGTTTGCAGCTCGCCCGCCGAGGCTTCTCCATCGTGCTGATCAGCCGCTCTCAGGAGAAGCTGGACGACGTGTCCAAGTCGATCGGTGAGATACGCGCCGCGCACTTGTTTTATTCCCGTGTATTATTTCCAACATGCAACATCCGCGTGAGTTACAGGATGTAGCTGCATATTACTCTGTTTAATCCATCAGTCTAAGTGATCCGCCGTCTCCGAGTCGAGGGAAATCAACACTGTCTGGGGTCCACAGGCGCAAGACTAATATAGTTCATGTGTTAAATATGACAGGCGCCGGACTGCAGTGGAGTGTAAATGGCCCGTGCAGCTATACGGCCTCATTTATCCTGAACCTGAAACGTCGCCGTCCTATTGGACTGTATGATAGCCCAACGACCGAACGATATCGCGCTGAATTATGAGTTTTGCACAAGTGATCCTTTATTGAGTGGAGATTCAGCAGGACTCTTATGCTTTGGGTTATGAGGCAGTAAAGCCTCCTGCTGGAGCAGAAAGTGAATCTGTCCAATTAAATGAAAGCCTCCTCTTAAGGGAGGGATTTCCTCATTGATGATTATTTCAGCGTTTAATAATTTTTCCTCTGCTCTCCTCTTTCCCTCTCCCCGTGACGATTTCATAGTAACGTAGTTGTCGACGAATCTTCCTTCCACTGCTGCTCGCATGCACTTAATTAAAACTCACGTCTGTGTCCTCAGCCAGCAAATGTGGCGTCGAGACCAAAACCATCGCGGCAGACTTCAGCGCCGTGGACATCTACTCCAAGATTGAAGATGGACTGGCAGGACTGGAGATCGGAGTACTGGGTACGGCTGCCGTTTTTCATCGAATTTAATTAGTCGCTCACATGAGATGGCAAAATCAATCTGAATAAAGGCCTGCAGGCAGCAGGGATGCTGCATAATCCACTGTGATAGATGCAAGTTTTTCATGTATGCATAAAGGTTAATTTATTAGCCCTTTGCTGCCCTCCTAAGACCGAATACGGGAATGACACGCTGCTTTTTTTTGTTGTATATGTTGAATTAAATCTTTAAATTAACTGCTTTCTCAACACTTTAAATCTCACAGAGCTTTTATTTCTCTATTTTAACAGTGAACAATGTTGGAATATCTTATTCTTACCCTGAATTCTTCCTCAACGTCCCCAATCTGGACTCGGTGAGTTCAAACTTTTTATGATTTTTGTGATGTTTCCGAGCACAACACGCATTCATATCAGGCATTTAACAAGGTTATACAAATTGAACTGAGCAGCGATCGCGGAGTGCTTCGCGCCACATTTCATTCCGCCCCCGTTCGCCCGTTTCGACATCCGTGAACGTCTAAATTCCGCGCTGCTGTTTAATGCATTAGCTCAGTTCGCTTGTGTTCGACAGCGGTCCAGGTTGGATCAATGCGGCTCCACTACAGACTGGATCAATATAAGTGGACTGCTTTGCACTCAGATCACTTTTTCTGCCTCTTGAATGGAAGAAAGGACCCTGAAAGTGTAATTCATGAAGTCGTTCGGCTTTGTAAGTCACGAAGTCAGGAAAGTCTATTACGCGGCGATATCTATCGAGTTTAATTTTTTTTTCATTTATGAAAGAACGTGTCTGCGTTTTCCTCCTCGACCTCCAAACCGTTGCTCGAAGACGAACAGAACCTTTCGGCCTTTCCGAATATAATTTCTATTATCCAAACCGAGCGAGTCGTCATCCAGAGTACCTGTGCTTTAAGTTTAAAATTGATAAAATTATATTCGTTTCTCAGTGATTAGTGTGTCAGGTCACACACACGCTAAGGAAACAAGAAGCACAAAAGCCATTCTTTCTCTTTTTAAATGAAACGCTGGTTTACTCAACAGACTGCGGCTGCGTCTTCCTTTAAAACGTCTGATGCAACAGGCTGCAAGCCGCCAACAAAAAAGTCAAATGTACACAAATAAATCAGACTAAATAAATGAAATATGGGAAGAATCAAAATGCTTTAGAAAATAAACTGTGCTTGTAATTGGTTTATCAGCTTCACATCAAGTTCAGGAAATGAAGTGGCTGAACTGCATTAGTGCTGTCAGGTAAGCCTCAGCTGCCGCAGCAGATGTTGGGGAGGCTGTGGACAGATGTAGCTGGTGTTTCTGGTAAAAGGCTGCAAAGACGTGCTGGAAAAACGTGGACGAGAGGGAACTCGGTAACGGAGCTGGACAGCGATTGCATATTCACTTCTATTAAAGCACCTGTGGAGTTTGAATTGTCTGAATTGTCGGCGAGAGGCTTCTTAAAAGCCACGAGGAGCTGGGTTTTATTCCTGTACCACTGAAGTTTGGTGTCCTTGTCCCCCATTATCGTAACTGCAGTGTTCAAAAACAGCAGAATTTCATTGTGTTGGCAGGAGTTGAAGCTCTGGTTGGTCTGCGTTCGCTAAAACTACGAGAGAGTTTCAAACTGAGTTCTGCATGTAAATCAGCTGTATTCATTCAGTACAAATGCATGCTTGCACACCCTGATCAGGAGTACTTACAGTAATATTTACAAGTAGATGCACAAATGCAAAAGTCATACTAACGCTGCTGTTCTTCTCCTTGTCGCAGTTCATCGACACCATGGTCAACATCAACATAACATCGGTGTGCCAGGTGAGTGCTGCAGCCTTCATATAATGAGACTTTTTTTATTTTTTTCCCCCCACAGATTAACAAGACTCCAAATAGTAAAAAATGTATTTCCGCTCCCAAGGTGATATTTAGCGGCGACACCTTTAGCTGTAACTACAGTCCTGTGAGCAAAAGATCTGCCGTGGTTTCCACCGGTCCTCCTTTCAAAAAGTTCAAACGAATACAAAATGCCAAACTGCAGGAGCTGTTCAGGTAACAGAGGGTGTTGT